AGTTTAAAAAATGTTAGTTGCAGGATTCAAAGTAAACATATACAAACAACGAGTTTAAAAATTTTAGTTGCAGAATTCAAAGTAAACACATACAAACAACGAGTTTAAGAATGTTAGTTGCAGGATTCAAAGTAAACATATACAAACAACGAGTTTAAATACGCGCTTAATTCGCGCTATTCGTAACGAAATGAGCTCCCGTTTTGTTTTTGTTTCTGGTACTATAAGAGCGAAAATGAATTGTTGTAATTTATTTCAGTATTCTAAATCGCCAAAGTATAATGATATGACTATCATAATATATAAGCAGATATCACACAATAAGGAAACAAAAATAGAATGAAAACAGCAGTTTACTCTTTCTTATATTCAGTATACGACCATTCAAATCAACTAAAACAATTAATAAAACAAAAATATAGAAATGATGTACCAGGTTAAGAGAAAATAAAAATGCTTATTTCTACGTTAAAGTATATTTAATATTTTGTCATTGATACTGGGCGACCTGGCAATGAAGTTTTAGCAGTATTTTAAACAACACGTCATTGACCTCACTTTATTTCTATGTTATGGAAGCACACAGACTCGCACAAATTCAATTATTCAAATGCTTTTAAAAGAAAATCATTCCTTCTTCGCCTTCACAAAGCACTATGGGTCTGCCAATGTGAACTTCAATTTGAATACTGTTCTAAATTTCTACCAAAGTTTGGGTTCTGCTTCGATGCATCTATGACTTGACCACACTTCCTCCCTTATGTACAAAAGGAGAAAAAAGTACAAGGACAAAAATACGTTTGTATTTCACACATCAGTCTTATAGTCTTTTATCTTAACTATGTTGTAAGTCTGTTATACGGATTTTACTGATTATATTTCAGTGTGAAAAACAATGGAGTAACGTAGAGTTGGAAAACAGTGAGCTTTATTTTTCTAAGGTTTGTTATTTTTTTAAAGTTTAATTTCATGGCGAGCTGTTAAAAGTACTCGAAATCATGTCTGATGTAAAGGATCCAGTCACATCCAAGTTCACATTTGAACTCAACATGGCTTGGCTACCTTTAATTACATTATTACATCACATCCTTTGTAGTTATTTAATTTTCTAGAATATAGAATTTTTAGCAGACAGAAAAATTCGCCATAGATAGAATCCGCTGTAATTTTTTTTCTTTTTCTTTTTACAAAACACTTGAGCTTAATCTCTATCTGCTGTAGCCATCCTGGCCCATAAGAACACAACTATGATAATGTTTTTTTTTCTTTTTACAAAACCCTTGAGCATGATCTTCATCTGCTGTATACATCCTGGCCCATAAGAACACAACTTTGATCATGTTTTTTTTCTTGAGCATGATCTTCATCTGCTGTATACATCCTGGCCCATAAGAACACAACTTTGATCATTGTTTTTTTTTTTCTTTTTACAAAACCCTTGAGCTTGATCTTCATCTGCTGTAGACAACCTGGCTCATAAGAACACAACTTTGATCATGTTTTTTTTCTTTTTCTTTTTGTAAAAAACTTGAGCTTGATCTTTATCTGCTGTAGACATCCTGGCCCATAAGAACACAAATTTGATCATATGTTCTTTTTCTTTTCCATTCTCTCATGTAGTGAATATAACGCAACAGAAAACAAAGTCGATTAACTAATGCACAAAGGAATTAATAGAATGTTGTAAGTTGCTTTTAATATATTTGGCAGGAAATATTAAAGAAATGGTTAAGTTGTTACCCAAAACCTGGTTGATACTTGTCTGTTTTTGTTTAGTGATGACACAAATAATATAATATATAATAATGTAAACCTATAGCAATAAAAATATTTAAATATTGTATATTAACTCCTACTTTCTCAGTAAAAGTGATCTAAATTTTATCTACTGACGAAACCATCCATTCTATAAATCTTGACAAGTATTTGGATGAAAAACAATCTAAGTTTCAAAACAAACAAACTAACTGTTTGGCACACGGAAATTATTTAATCCTCCTTTGCACAAGACTATAAATATAGCAGTAAAAATTATATATATAATTATGTACCAAAGTGCAGCGCAAATATGAGAGCTTGGGAAGGCTTAGCCTCCCCAAACGAACTGTCCACACAAGACATTATTTTCATCAACTCAAAAATATTAGGTAGTATAAGTGAAGAGGAGATCAAAAGATGTTATATATGTGTCGCAAACAGAATCTTCTCAACTGTTTACTCACCCCCAACCCCCCGCCCTGCGTTACAGAATAGCTTACCCAAAGAAAATGACTCATACACTGCTTCTGTATGTACTAAATATACTTTTATAGCTAAAAGATGTTATTTAGAACACTCTCATTACTGTAGTTATAGTTTTTATGTAATATTTAAGCACTGTAGCAGTTATATTTAATACATAATATTTAAACACTTATTGCTTTGTGTATAGTTAGAAAATAATATGATTACATTTAGTGGCAAAAGTGTTTAAATATCTCCTCTAGGTGCTACCGTAATGTATTCGTGAATATTAAAGCAACTCGTTTTCTAGCAATTCCCGAATCTTTGCGCATGCTCATAAGCAAAGGAACACTGTACACCGTTGTTGTAGAATGGAATATTTGAATAAAGGAACCTAGTGTAATTGAGACACTGCGCCCAGCTCTATGATACATTATTTTTACAGGATTGTGAGTTTTGTAATGCTTATAAAGTCGTATTCATAAACTTTAAAAGCTACTCCATTTCACAGCAAAAACAATATATAACAAAACATCTCCTATTTCCCTTGAAAGTCGAATGGACCACGAGCCATATATATATTTTTAGTGTGCTGTTATAAATCAACAATACTTGCTGTACTATCCTTGAATATTCTTATATGTTTATTACATTAATCATAATATTAGTGAAGTAACTATAACAGGGCTATCAAACCATGAGTTAAAATATGTTAGTAAAACCAAGCTGATCAATTAATAATATATACTGACGCTGTGTTATTAACTAAGGTGTTAAAATCATTTCTGAGGGCAGTGAAATTCCACGAAATCGGTATTGTT